TCAATGACATGAGACAAAGTATATGTGAACTGCTGTATGGAAAGTGAATTTGCTCTGTAAATCTTCACCCAAATCACAATAAAAAAAGAATAAAGAAATGGCATGTATAATTGATGGATTGGGTTGGGATGCACTGGGATCAGGTATTTAAACTGATTGTTTGAATCCCAGAACCTGAGTAAAAGACAAGACTGTGTTTCAAATGAAAGGAGAATAATAGCCTTGCAGCACAAAAACATGTAACCTTGGTGAATCTCTATTTTTTTAATTGAATTAACGCTAATGGGATTTTTATGGGGCATGGATGATTCAGTTCTGGTGTTCTTGCCTGCCAAGAAAGAAACCCAGTTTTAATTCCTTATTAATGCCTCTCATGCACAGACACCACCAGCCTGACAGTGGAGGTTTTAGTGTTGCTGAACAAGTTTCAGGGAAGCTCCCAGACTAAGACTAACTAGGAAGACTGGACTGAGGATCTACTTCTGAAAATCAACCAATGAAAATTCTATAGATCACAAAGGTCAAATACACAACTGATCACAGGGTTGACACAGGATTGGACGCCAATAGGATTTGACTCGATGTTTGAGTGAGTTTGAGTTTTGTTGTACACAGGGTGAAGTTTCTGCAAATTGGGGGCTGACTGGATGGCAACTAGCAACAATAAAATAGGATAGGTTTTTCTATCTTTCTTTTCTTTTTTTATTAGTCAGTCCTTTAACACATCTCATCTTTTGAGATGTAAAAAACTTAAAATTCTTTGTTGCTGCTGTTAGTTAGGTGCCATTGAATCAGTTTCTACTCACAGTGACCCTATGTACACAGAACGAAATAACCCTGCCCTGCGCCATCTTCATAATTTTTGGTATGGTTGAACCCATCCTTGTAGCCACTGTGTCAATCTATGTCTTTGAGGGTCTTGTTTTCAGCCAAGGTCCATCTGACATTAGCAATGATATATCTCTTTTCCACGTCCTCTTCTGAATCCAGCTTGAATTTCTGGCAGTTCTCTGTTGATGTATTGCTTCAAGTGTTTTTTGAATTATCTTCAGCAACATTCTACTTTTATGTGATAATGATATTATTTGACAATTTTTGCATTCTGTTGGATCACCTTTCTTTGGTATAGGAACAAATATGGACCTTTTCCAGTCTGTTAGCCAGATGGTTATTTTCCAAATTTCTTTGTGTAAATAAGTGAGGGCTTCCAGTGTTTCATTTTTTTGTTGAAATATCGCAATGGGTATTCAGTCCATTCCTGAAGCCTTGTTTTTTGCCAATTCCTTCCATGCAGCGTGGACTTCTTCCTTCAATACTATCAGTCCTTGTTACATGCTACCTCCTGAAATGATTGAACTTCAACCATTTCTTTTTGTACAATGACTTTGAATATTCCTTCCATCTACTTTTGACGCTTCCTACATTGTTCAATATTTTGCTCATATAATCCTTCACTATTGCAACACAAGGTTTGAATGTTCTCTTCTCTTCTTTCAACTTGAAAAATGCCGTGTATTAGTTTTTCTTTTGGTTTTCTAACTCCAAGTATTTGCACATTTTGTTATAATACTTTACTTTGTCTTCTCGAGTAGTCCTTTGAAATCATCCATTCAGCTCTTCTTCATTTTTTCTTCCATTCATTTAAAAATGCTTTATCCATCCCTACATTTTTAATTTGCTAACTCCTTTAATATCCACATAATTACACCAACATCAACGAATGAAAAGAAACATTTCAACATGAGCAACCCAGGAATTCCAATGAAAATAATATTTTGAATTCTCTAAAGTCAGGAGATAGTGGTGGAGTTTTTAGTTATATCTTGTCAATGTGCTGATTTTTCTCCCTTTTTCTCAGGTTCTCCCTCGACAGACCTGTGGATTATTCACTCACACTATTTTCTACAAAGAGTATCCAGGAGGACCCCAAGAATTGGATAAAAGCATCAGAGGAGGTGAACTTTTCCTCACAGTCCTTCTAAACCCAGTATGTATTCTATTTATGATTTGTACAAAACATCAGCATTTTTAAATATATATTTCATTTGTTTGTAATTGAATGTTCATAATTGAATTCCACAAGACTAGGTGGTAAATGCTACCCATACTAAGGAGAAAATCAGACTGTCTCAATATTATTCAATTTTCTTATGATACTCAATCAAGAACAACACAGATATGCTAAGAAACATGTTCTACAATAATCAAATATAACATAACCTCTCAATGTTGGCTTATTTTCTTGAAATTTTGTAAATGTGTATCAATATGCAGTTCTTTTCCCAAAAATGAAAATTCACAATTTAACCGTTGGTACCGATTTTGCCATACATTATTTCTGGCTCTAGAAATCAGTAAGCAAAGCACAGAAATGACTGTAATGAAAAACTACATTAAAATGTGTGGCTATGTAGTATCTTTGTATACTAGGGTGACTTCAGATCCTTTCAAATAAGTCTCCACTAGTTTTTCTTGGGATCAAAAATTTTTTTTTAGTTAATTTGCATCCTTTTATATTTCAAAATTTTGCAATCTGATTCCTTGTTATAAATATATGTGTTAAAGTATATATCATGGTGAAAAACATTAAAGTTAGATATAATGGGAAGATATTAGCTTTCTGTTTCTTTTCTCCCTTAAGAATTATGTTACTGCATTCTTTTTTTTTTTTTTTTTTTTAATTGTGATTTGGGTGAAAGTTTACAGAGCAAATTCACTTTCTATATGGCAGCTCACAAACACTTTGTCTCATGACATTGACTGAAATTTCCCACAATACAACAGCTTCCCTCCCACTTCCTTCTCATAGTTACCTCTTCCCTGTGTCCTTCACTCCCATGCACTCCTGTCTCCTGAGCTGTCTCCCTGTGCATACACAGCCCTTATATTCTCCCATGATTGTTATCTCCAAGAAGTGAATCTACCTAATGTAAATGTTCAGCTCCTATGCCTATCTTTTTTTTGGCTGGAAGCCACGGTACTGGGTGACATTCCAGACCTGAAAGGCAGCTAGGAACCACAGTCTCAGTGGTTCCATCAGGCTCTATCAGGCCAGTAAGCCTGGTCCCATTTTTTTTTTTTTAAATTGATTTTGAGTTTTGTTCCACATTGTTCTCTTACTCTATCCAGAATCTCCTACATAGATCCCCGTTTGAGTGGTTGACAGTGGTAGCCAGGCAGCATCAAGTTCTTCTGGTGTCATAGTTGAATAGGCTGAGGATTGCACAGTGTACCAGTCACTTGGACTAATTGTTTCCATGCATCTTTGGTTTTCTTCATTCTTCTTTGCTCTGGATGAAGAGCAACCCATTGTTACATCTAGATGGCTGCTTGCAAGCTCTTAAGTTCCCAGTTGCTACTCTCCAAAGTAGGATGTGAAACAATGTTTTGTGTAGTATGTTGTAGTAAGTCACTACAACCTTGTCCCTTATAGCTTTACTATATACCTGGACATTCTTACAGAACATAGCAATATGTTTGTAGAAATTTTATCTGGCAACTCTATACATGGTCTTGGGCACAATCCCCCCATGCAAAAACACTCCTAATAGTTCAGCCTGTCCACCTAACTATCCTCCTATATGTCCACGTTTGCCTTCACTGACAATGCAGTACCATATATGTGAAAGGGTTCATCTTTGTTGTCTATACGTCCCATGTACCATTCAATTACTTCCTCCTCCTCAATGGCACCCACTCCTGGTAACCAACAAAGAAAATTTCCTTCCATATATAAACCTTTCCTTGACATTTTACAATAACAGACTAATACAATATTTGTCCTTCTGTGATTGACTTATTTCACTCAGCATAAAGTCCTCCAAGTTCATCCATATTATGTGGTGTTTTGGAGATTCCATGTTATTCTTTAGGGTTGCGTAGTATTCCATTATGTGTATGTACTATAGTTTGGTTATCCATTCTTCTGTTGATAGGCACCTAGGTCGTTTCCATCTTTTGGCTAGTGTAAATAGTGCTTCAGTGAACATGGGTGTGTATATATCTGTTCTTGTCCTGGCTCTCACTTCTATAAGATATATACCTAGTAATGGAATGGCTGGGTCAAATGATATGTCTAATTCCAACTTTGTAAAGAATCGCCATGCTGCTTTCCACAGTGGTTCTATCATTTGACAGTCACACCAGCAATGTATGAGAGTCCCAATCTCTCCACATCCTCACCAGCATTTGTTATTTTCTGTATTGTTGAACTTTGCTACCAGTGGTGGGGTAGGATGGTATCGCCTAAAGCACTTGACTGCTAACCAAAAGACTGGATGTTTAAACTCACCAGCCACTCCTCAGAAGGAAAATGGGGCAATCTACTTCTGTAGTGATACTGCCCTGGAAACCCAAGGAGGGGTCGCTATGAGTCAGAGACAACTCAAAGGCACATAACAAGAATAAGAACATCTTGTATTGAGAAGTTCTGGTAGCATAGTGCTTAAGGCA